TCTTGGGGATAAATGTCAAGGGCTAATACGACTCGAAGAGTTAGACTTGGAGGACTAACATAGTGTGATGGGTTAGAAGTAGCTTGATGGAGCTAGAGTCCAATGGGTCTTGTGGTCGAAGTTACATAAGTTTTGATATTTCAGATGCTTGGGTGTGTATGTTCATTAATTGTTATGACCTATCGATGATTAATGTGATTATGAACATGTTGTTTTGTGTATAGTTAGTGAGGGCTGCTAGCGGGCCTTGTGGTAAGGGTTACTTTAATTGCATGTGTGGGTTAATGAGTGTTATGATTTATTGATGCATGGATGTCAGTTTAATATTTCGTAACGAATGTTGTGTGCTAAGCATGTTGTTGGTGTGTAGTTAGAGAGGGCTACTTACGGAGTATTCTTAATACTCACCCCCCCTACAATTATTGTTTTCAGGTGAAGATCAGGTTCATGATGATGGTGATGGAGCGGAGGAGACTCGAGAAGAAGGACCATAGCAAGTTTCCATTTAGATTTTACCTGTCTAAAATAGGTTGTTAGGAGTTTTTGTTGAATTAGTTCATGCCCTCTGTTTTGATCTTTGACTTGTGCAAATTTAACGGAGTTAGTAGAATGTTTTGGATGATTTTTCTTTTAAGTCTGGACTCCTGTAAAGAGTATGTTCTTGGTTTCATTGAGAGAAGTTTAGGGAGTATGTTTAATGTCATTTGATTTGCTAACTTGGAAAGATTGAAGCATGGAGTAACTGTTTAGGGTTTTTTTTTTTTTGTGTGTTATTGTCAGAGTGACGCAGTGGAAGCATGGTAATTTTTATTTGCTTAGTTGATTCGTTATTATCTTGTAGGGTTATGCTTCTGTTGATAGGTTGCTTTTCTTGAAGGGATGTGAATCCCGGAGCGGAAGCGAATCGTTGTTCGTGAAATTTGGGAAACAAAATCAAAACGTGCAAGATTAAAATACAGGGGAAAACCATATCTTTGAAAAACGTTTCTTCAATGATTTCCCAACGAACACCACCAAACGACCTTCCTTACTATCCTCTTGGGTTTCGAGAACACGCTTGTGGGAGCGTTTCTTTGGAATGAGAGGGAGTGTTGAGAGAGAGCTTGATTGAGAAAATTCAAAAATGGGAGTTCTGTGTTTTTTGTTCTATTTCACTGTATTTTGTAGAACTGCAAAAAAGGAAGAACAAAAACATACCCCACGTCACTTAACTGCCCACTCCCCTACAATTTTGCAAGGGAGTTGAATATAATAATATTAATATTACATTAATAATAATGATAACATTAATATTAATATTATTTATATATATATAAAATATATATATTAAAATTGATTAATCATATTAATTAATATATATATATATATATATATATATATATATATACATCAAATAATTAACACTTAATTATTTATCTCATAAATAGAATCATATTCTATAGCATTTTTCTCGTATAACCTATTGTTCTAATGTACATCTTATGCACATTATTTTTAACCTATAGTTTTAATATGAATCCTATTCATATTAATTTTATTTGAATCTCATTCAAATAATTTCTCTCATAATATATAGTTTTAATTTATAATTAACTATATATTATAATGTATCAATATACATATAATCCCTTAAGTAATTTGAACAATTCAAATTCTTCCAAAAACTTGATTCTCGTTTTACTCGTTATGAGCTAGCAAGGGGACCTAATGGACCTAGAGATCAGAAGCTCCAACGATGCAAGATTAAACTGTCAAACTAATTGACCGAGTTAATCAAGATTCGTTAACTACGGGCCGTCATTCCACTAAAGACCCGCAGTTGCACTCTTCTCACTGCAGAATATTTTCGTGTCCATGGATCTACGACCATTAATGACGAGTCAATCCTTCACAAGTGCTCGTAACTGAAGTTGAGTCAAATTACCGTTTTACCCCTAAGTTACATCTTACTCCTTAAATACCACTACTCCTCTAATGTACAACCCGATTATGGTCCGACTAATAACCGGAAGTACCTCTTGGGCCAATGAGAGGGTGAGATCCCTTGTTCAAGTCCCGGAGTCAGCATTTAAGAGAACACTCATCTACTCCCCTAAAGTCGGGGAAAAGTGAATTCCATCTTGTGAAGTTATGTTCCCAGCTCTCCACTTGGTCTCGTCCCCAAAATGGTAGGAATATTGAGTCAACAACTCGGGCCACTCTCACCCATACAGATCAAAGGACGAGCCCTCACGGACAGGAGTCCATAACTCACTCAGGATTGAGAATGAGTTGCCTGGTCATCCTAAGAAACAGCAATCTATTAGTTAACGATGTTACATTCTAAAGATTGGCTATTTCGTTGTCCGGTCTTATACAAACTCATTGTATAGGATACCCTCACTCGCATGTCTTCACACGAACGACCTGGATCAATTCGTCTGTAACCTTTATAGAGTGGGCTGTATCCATAGTGTTGCCAGGATAAGCTACCCAGCCTTATCCATATACTATAGACCTTTTAGGTTATTCACGGGAAATTATCCATTTCTATATCAGGGTATATCAAATATATACCTCGTATATCAGGGATATATCAAATATATACCCAGTATATCAAATATATACACAGTACATATACTGTCCCGGTTACACTAAAATAACCTCGGATGTTTAGTTTATTGGATTTTGGACAATACTATGCTATGAATTCAACAACAAATTTATTGAATAAAACTTTATTGAATATACATTTGTTTTTACACAAAATACAAACTACGAGTTTAGGGCAACACACCAAACATTTCTTTCATCGTTTACTTGATTCGGCATTACTTGACTTATACATGAGTGTTAGATGTTTAGTGAAGCATTCGCAAGTTTATGTTGAGCAAATAGAAATGATGAATCATATAGGTTCGTTTAGTGGTTTTTATGCATTGGGAGGAAGTTTGGAGCATGTAGGTTTAGTAATGCTCCCCGTGTAAGTCATCAAAATTTGGGGGCGTTACAATTTTTCCCTAGAGGGCAATATGGTTCTTTTAGCCTTATGTGAACAGTGCACAGGTTTTAGTGAATGAATCAATATTTTCTCGGTTTTGCTAATTGATTTTATATCTTTGGGGAGAAAGGTTGAGCAGGTAGGGTTGTTAATGCTTCCCGTATGAATTATTGAATTGAGGGGCATTACAATTAACGTTGTCCTAAACGTCGGGCTACCAAGCACCTATGGTTAAACCTGTGTCATACATTCGCTTAAAGGTGTTCACGGTTTAGTTCGGCTTAGTTTTACGGCTGAACCGAAACCGAATATTAAAAGTTAAAAAATTATAAACCGTACCAAACCGCATTTACCATACGAATCGAACTTAACTGCAATTCGATTTGGTTCGATTTTTGCATTTTCTGGACTAAAATCAAAGATGTAATTTTTTCTCGTTTCTGCTAAAACTTATATCACTAATAATATCTTTGATAGTGGGTGGTGTATCTCAAAACTTTCATATGAAAAAAAAAAATTCTTCACGTACCTTAACATTTAACCATATAAATAACTTTCTAAGTAGGATTAGCTGCCAGAGGTCGAAAGAGGAAGATAGATTTATGGAGGGAGCAATGGAAGCAATAGCAGTTGGATTGGAGGTAGCGGCGGCAACAACATAAGTTGGGTTGGAGGTAGCAACAACAGTTATAGAAGTTGGGAGGAGAAGAACCAAGAACAAAAAGGAAATGTAGGAAGATAAGAATAGAATAAGTAAGAAGAGAGAAAAGATGGGAAATGAGAAGAAGTAGAAATGGTACATTTTGAAAACAAACCACCGTTCAATTATAATTCAATTTTGTAATTTTTTCAGAGTAAAATTTAAAACTAAATTAAATGTTGGAAAGACAAGACATTAAATTAAAAAAAAAAGAAAAAAATCAAGGAAAGATTGTGTGCCTCGTCTGTCGTGGGTCAGAGTCATGATAACTCTTACTTTTACACTCCCCAATGTCTTAAATGTAATATAAATATATAATTATTGATAATATTAAATATAAATATTTATATAATATGGTTCGGTTCGGTTTTGCTATTTGGTTTATAATTCTAAACCGAAACCGAACCGCATATTCGGTTTGATATTTATTACTAACCGAACTGAAGTGTAAAACTGACAAAACTGCGTTTTCGATTTGGTTTCGATTTGGTTTTTCGGTTTGTTCGATTTTTTCGGTTTGGTTGTGCACCCCTACCTTCACTGCAAGGGGATGTCTCCGCGGCATTCACGGCTAATTGTGGAAGCTCGATCCTCTTGGCGGTGGTCTTTAGGTAAGACCGAGTCTTTCTGACCTTCCTCTTTTCTCCACGTGGCAAGGCTATTTTTCTGCCACCAAAAAATGATATATTTATATTTGTTGTTACCTCTTACTTCATATTTTGTTATAAACTCCTTTAGACACTTCTCAAATGTATATGTAATATGTATTCTCGAGGTTCACATCAATGTGTGAGTTGATATTAATATTTTCTTAAATTGTCATTTTATTTTAGAGTAGTTTTAATGCCTTCAAAAAATAGACTCATGTAAGTATCAATATTTTGTTAAATGAGTAGCTAGTGGAAACATTTCTTGGTCTTCTTATAATACCATCACAACGTAATGTTACATATATGTTTCTCATTTGAGGAATTCGATTCCAAGGAAAATGATTGAAATGAATGTGTACATGTTGTTGTTTATTAGCTTGAGTGAAGAATTTGAAATAATAAGTTTAGTAACTCTGTTGTTTGTTTAGGAGAAGTAAATTAATGAGTTGCTAATTAGCTTGAGTAAAGAATTTAGAATTAGAAATAGTGTCCATGGTTGTGAGCGTGAATTAGAAAGCATGCGTTAGGGTCTTGCTGAAAGCTTTTCAAGAACACTTTTAGTTTATCCCCTTATTGTTAAATGGAAGTAAGGTTGGGGTAAATTGAGGTATGATTCTTGTTATTAGTCATGCATTGTGTTCTTGACTGAATTACAAATTAGTGTTTCTTATACATATGTTGCATCAAAAGAATGTTTCTTAGTTGATGTTTGATGAGAGATTTGTACTTATCCTTGAGCTAAAACATATATTATATGATTTGTGAAAAGTATGCTAATTATAGTTTAATTTTTTTATATGTTTGTTATATTTTGTTGAAGGGGAGAACTTGTGAACTTAATGGTTTAAGAAATATGGGTGTTCAAGAAATAATTTTGCAGTTTGCTTCAACGTGTATTGGGTATCACATCTTATTCTGTTTATGCAAGGATATGCACAACAGCGTATTTCAGATTGCAGCTCGAACTCGGCCTACAGACCGATGTGAACACTTGGGCGGACCTGCATAAAAAGGTGAGCACTCCGACGATCAAGTCAGTATAGGTCGGATTCCCAATTTAGTTCGAGGCCAGAAATCATCGTACCTGATCGTGGAATGAAGTCCTCTACTTATGGGTGGTAGTCCCGCTAATCTCGCAACGGTTACACTCAGTAATCTCGGGAT